ACATTAAATGTAGGGCTGAGATTGAAGTTTTGATCATTCTAATGGTAAGATGAGGGATACCTATTGTCAAGTACGAGGACTATTTGACCCTAGAAGGTCTCATCTATCTATCCATCTATCTATCTATCTCTAGCTATCCTATGTAAAAATGAACGACGTTGCATATCTATATATCTATATACCATATATATCTATCTAATATTTCAAAAATAAAAAAATCAAAACAAAGTTCAACAATAATCACATAAATATTTCATGACCAGTTTGATTATGAGTGTCATTCCATCCGAGACAAGTAACTCTTGTTTATGTTTGTGCTCGTTTAATAAAGGAATATAAGACTTAGAGTTCGACTCCAATATAGGATACTATACTAGGTCGATTTGACCAAATAAACTAGCTAACTGAACTGGATGAACATGTAGGTCGATCAGATATCGAAAGAGCTACAGGTCGAATGGTTCTGAGATGGGGACGCCGTAGGTAAAAAGGATAGCCGACAGGTAAAGCTAGGACCCTCGGATGGCATGGTAGAAACTCAACTTGAAGGCCCGCAGGTCGATGGATTGACCAGAGGAACAAAATGCACGAGCTTAGCGTGGAAGACAGTCTACCTCACAGAAAGTTGGGTTGGTCGTACGATTAGACCATCTAACAAGGAAGACTAATGGATAAGAAGACATATGTTTGAGATTAGAACCACACGTGGATTGGACCACACGTCCTAACATAATCGGGCAGTTTGGGCACCCCAGGCAGTACGAACGGGTAGTTCGGGCAATTAGGCAGCCCATCCGAACAGTCTTGGGCACCAATGTAACACCTCTGTATAAAAGGGTGAGGTACTCACTCTACAAGCTTATATACAGTGTTCATCGTCTTCTCCATAACAGTGAACTGACTTGATCGTCAGAGTGCTAATAACGAGAATACTCCCGACTCATTTTGCAGGTCTAGGTCTTTGAATCGGTCAAGAAGCAGATCCAGGTAAAGCCCAATCGAAGCCCTTTTACACATCAGATTTGTTGAAGCTCGAATAGATTTACTCGTTTAATAAACTTAAAACTCTAAATGAGTTGTTTGTGAAAATAAAGTATTTTTGCAAACAAGTTCGACACAAACTCACTTTGATTCGTTTAATAAATAAACTTGATTAGTTATTCAAGCTCGGTTCATGTTAAGAAAAAAAATGAGCCGAGCTTGAGCTTTCACGAGCATTATTGAGTTATGTTCGCGAATAACTCAGTTCGAATAAGAATTTTATGGTTGATTTACATTTTTTTAGAGAATTATTTATTTATTTATTTATTTACACAACTTGTAATGCTGCACAACTTTTTTTTTTTCTTTATTCTTGTTGAATAGATGTGTTTACTATGAGAACTCAATTTACTATATATATTTTTTTAAGAATAAATTATAGTTTTATTTTACTGATATTGGTTATGCAAGATTCTTGAACATTTCGTACAAACGTAATCTACGAAAATAAATGGAGAAAATTTCATTACAAGGCCCAATTTTTAAAAGTTATATCAATTTAAGACTAGAATTTTATTCTTTCTCAATAGAAAACTTACGTTTTAGATTATTTTAAATTTAAGACTCACTTTTTAGTTAACTTTTCATTGTAAGGTTCAACTAACTTTACTTTTTGACATAATATGTAAATCAATTAACTTCATTTTATGATATAGTTATGTGAAAAAAAAAAATGTTTTGTTTTGATTTTTTTATAATTTATATTTTGCATACTTATAATAAAAAATAATAAATATCTTTAGTAAAATTTTTTCAATAAAAAATGAAACTATATAAATTATATTTATGCAAAATTTAATAATGATTATTCTAAAAAATTGATAAGTGAATTTAACAAAATATGTAATGGAAATATTTTTCATTTAATAAACTAAATATGTACTATGGTATCAACTTTTGCATAAAAAATAAAAGTTAAAAATCTGAAAAACAAAAATGAAGGAAATATTATTTTTATTTATTTTATTATAGATATATATTATTAATAAAAATAATATTACAACGGCATATTTTTTAAATTATCAATTTTTAAAAATACTCATTATTAAACTTTTACATAATTGTAATATATATAGTTTCATTTTCTTATTAATGTAATGTAATCTATACTTATATAATAAGAATTAACATTTATCCAAAATAGTAGGTCAAATTATGGTCAATGTCGGATTTGCATTAAATATTTTCCAAAATTGGCAAGTTTTTGTCCTTTTCACACTTCTCATTAATTATGTCATTTTCACACTTTTCATTAATTATGTCCTTTTCACACATCTAATTAATTCATTAATTACGACATAATTATCATAAATCATTCCATCTGAGCTTTTATCGTTAAAATGTATAGCGATCTGTTATGACCTTATCCCATTGATATTTCCATGAAGCGTCCTTATCTCTATATCAATAACCGGATATTTGGTTAATGATAGCACACGTCTTTATTTCAAAGAGCGGATATTCTTTGACCTTTAATTAATCTGAACTGATTGCCTTGACTTTTCAATTTTTAAAAACTCTTTTTTTAAATATTTCGGCTTAAGATTCAGATTTCATTATACAAGTCATCGGATTGTTTGAATGAAAATGAATGAAAAGAACACAAAAAACAGGTAGCCTTATTCATATAACCAATCCTAAAATATTAGTTTGTTCACCAAAAAGAGACAAATCCTAGAAATCCTAAAATATTAGTTTGTTCACCAATCCTAAAATATTAGTTGTTCACCAAAAATATTAGTTTGATTTTTAGGATTTGTCTCTTTTGAAAATATTAATTTGTGATGATGAGGAATTATCAAATAATCAAACTCATAATGTTGTGTACAATGAGGTTTTTAATAATATATGATTGTTACCGAACTTTTTATGATTCAACAATGTTCCTATGTATTTTAATGATTTCAATTTCGATCCTAATGCACGTGAGGTTATATTATTCTTCTAAATTTTACATCCCGTGCATCGCACGGGTTACGTGCTAGTTTTACTAAAGATATTTATTACTTTTTTATTATAAGTATGTATATATAAATTACAATAAATAATATAATAATAATATATTTTTATTCATATAATAGTTGGTTTACATATTTATGTTAAAAAGTAAAGTTAGTTGAACCTTATAATGAGAAGTTAACTAAAAATAGTAGATCTTAAATTGAGAATAATTTAAAATATAAGCCTTCAAGAACGAATAAAATTTAAAACTTAAATCCATGTAAGTAAAAAGTCACAAATCCACAAAAAATTCATAAATTACAGTCTCCCAAAGTTGCTTCCAAAATTTTTGAATTTTTTTAAAAGCTTCAATTGAATTTGGAGGCCTGAAACTAGTAGTCGAGCGTGTGTGATGCACAAAACACACAGAATCGGGCATTACAGAGCACAGGATGAAGGCGAATCACGTCTTCTTCTCATGGCGGTTTCTATCTTCTTCCCCAATTCGCCATGAATTAGGTAAATCCCTTTGCTGCTCTCAATCGTCGCTACTTTATCGTTGTTTATGTACAAAAGGAGCTGTAGTTAGTTTCAATTTCCGCGAAGAAACGAAGAACATTAGTGGGTTGGATGATGCTCTTAGCCTGTATGAGAACTTGTCGAGAACGAGGCCTCTACCGAGTATTGTTCAGTTTACTCGATTGCTCTCGCATGTCGTCCATCTGAAAGAGTACTCTGCTGCTATTAACCTTTTCAAAGACATATGCAGTTTAGGGGTTTCAGTCAATGAACATACTATGAATATTGCTATCAACAGCTTTTGCCTTTTGGGCCGGGTTGATTACGGGTTCTCCATTCTGGGTTGGTTCTCCAAGCGGGGCTGTACTGCGGATAAATATACCTTCAACACTTTACTGACAGGCCTGTTTCGAGAGAAGAGGACTAATGACGCACAAGAGTTGTTAAGGAAGATGGTTGAAGAAAGGCTTTGTGAGCTAGGCATTGTGACTTGTAGGATTGTGGTCGAAGGGCTTCACAAGGTTGGTAAGACCTCAATGGTCAGTGAACTCCTCAGAACAATGGGAAATGGGACACTCGAGCCCAATGCTCATATATATAGCATTGTTATTGACGTATTGTGTAAGAATAGAATGATAGACTCGGCCTTGTTGCTTTTCAACGAAATGCCCGAGAAGGACATCCTACCCAATGTCTTCACTTACAATTCCTTGATCGGTGGTTTGTGTAATTTCAGCCGTTGGGAGGAAGTAAAAAAGCTGATGAAGGAGATGGTGCTCTTCAAGATACATCCGAATGTGGTCACGTTCGCCATCTTGATTGATGCTTTGTGTAAGGAAGGAATGGTGGATGAAGCAGAAGGTGTAGTTGAAATTATGAAGCAGCAGCATGTAATTCCAAATGTCGCCTGTTACAATGCATTAATGAACGGATTTTGTCTTCAAGGGCGTATGGATAAAGCAAGGAATGTTTTCGATTCTTTGTGTAGTAGCAAGAATTGTGCTCCTGATGTTATTACCTATGACACATTAATCAATGGCTATTGTAGAAAGATGAAGATGGACGATGCTATGGTTATCTTCCGCGAGATGCCTCATAAAGGGATCAAGCCTGATGTAGTCAATTATACCACTATACTGAGGGGTTTCTTTCGAGCGGGCAAGTGGCGCTTAGCTCTTGATATTTTTTATGAGATGCAAGCTGTTGGGCTAAAACCTAACTTCTATACGTACTGTAATTTGTTGGATGGATTATGTAGGAATGGGCAAGTCGAGCGGGCTTTATCGTTGTTGGTAGTATTAGAGCGCAAGGGACAACATCTTCATAATGAATACTATACCATCGTCATGAATGGTTTGATCAGATCCAATGAGCTTAATGCGGCTCAAGCTATTTTTGGAATTATAGTTTTGAAGGGATTGGAGCATGATGTGCTGACCTACAATGTTTTGATTAAAGGATGTTGTCAAAAGGGGCTATTAGAGGAAGCTAAGGATCTTCTTTTCAAAATGGTACGAGCAGGTTTGTCTCCGAATGAGGTTACTTATAACACTATTGTCCAAGGAAACCTAGCAGGTGGCCTATATGATGATGTAGAAATGTTTATGGAGGAGATGGTAGCCAAAGGTTTCTCACCAAATTCAGCAACATTTCAGTTGCTGCTTAGTTTATTCGACTCGAAGGAAAAAAATCGCAAAATATTTAAAAATTTTCAGAAGCTGGCGCCTAACAGTTTCAAACAAAAGTTAGGAGCAGAGTAGATTCTTTGGGCACTGGCTCTTTGCAAAAGGTAATAATATTTTATGTTCGCTTGAATTACCAAGATAAATGATTGGTATATGTTATAGCATTCAGTTCATGCTGAGAACTGGCAACACGCGGTTCAATCCAAGTGGTTGAGTAAGAAGTTATGGTCATTTTGGAGAACCTGACCAACTACCTTAAGAAATGTCATAATAGTGTTTGATCAAAGTGATTGAGTCTGTACTAAATTATTAAAAAAACTAAGTCATGCAGCTTACCTTAGTCTATTTGTACATTGCTTTATGTTGGCATAATATGTTCACCATGTATTTGTTCAGCATAGGTGCTTCATAATTTCTATTGCTTGAACGGGCAACTCATTTTATTTGATGAACATATTCACCAAGGTAGATGTACAGTGTAGATGAAATGGTTAGAAATTATTGATTTGTGTTCTAAATCAGTTCATAAATTTTACTCAGGGTTGATCATCATCTGCTAAGCTGACACGGTTTGCGGATGTCTTGTCTTTCGACTAACTAGGGTAGTCTTGTTTTGTAACACTCCCCTCTGCTTTTGTAATCTTTTCCTGCATGAAAAAATATTAATTTCTGAGTATTATACGTTGTGACGTTAAAATAAGAGGAAAACACCGTGGTGTTAGATGAACTTTCTAATTTTTATTCACTGTCCTTTTAAGTTTTCTATTATAACAGTTGAGGAGTTTATTTCCATTTATTTGGATGTGCTCGGCATTGTTGGAATATATCCCGGATAACTAATTCAATATTACCAAATTCTCCTCCAGCTCTTAAAATTTACCATGACACTCTTTCTTCCCAGGTTCAGGCGTACACCTTCTTGAATGAGAGTCAGTTTTTGCACTTCGACTACAGCCTACGCAGGTTCACCCGTGCACCTTCCGGAATGAAAATCAGGTCTGCACTTCAATTTCACCCAAGACCAGTATAAGGTGTACGGTTACTGGATAATCAAGATTGGATTTGATGGGCTCTTTAAGGACTTCATGGCCAGCCTCCATCACCTACACTTGGATCAATTTCGAGCCAACTTGAGTTTTCTTGGTTTCTGATTCTCTGAGGAATGTAATTACCTAATGTATCTGGAAATAGTTGAGGTAATCCCCAGAGCCTTAAAAACCTTAAAGTTAGTAACTTTTATTCTAATAATTTTCTGAAAACGTTTTTTAAGCTCAAGGGACTAATCACATGAGTTATGCCTTATTAGTTGTTTTTATTTTTTGATCAATGATTATGGTGCAAAAAGAAACATTAAACGAGGGTGGCCCTGCTGCTCGTGAATGTTTCTCTTGGACTCATTTATTTTCATTTTTCTTTATTTTTTATCCTTTTTTAATTTCTAATTTTTAATGTCCTTAATTTTGATGAATTTAGTTTAATGGGGAGTAGGAGTTCCTATATTTTGGTTTTCTAACATAAGTATTAGTATTCTACTGAACTAAGGTTTCAGTTGTGTGGGTTGCAGATTGAAACACAAGCCTGCATACTCGTGGAGTAGGCTGCCGGAATTCCTGAGGGATGGATCCTCGGCCCTCAGCCGATGTTGAAGATAAATTTTGCAGCAGATTTGTGATTCTCGATGAATTCGGCACAGGCCAGGCCAAATAGAAACACATAACTGTTTGAGAAATTTTTTTGAGCGCCTTTGAAGCTTATGGACTCGGCTCAGAGGCGGGAGATTCTCTTGACCAAGAGGGACTATGAGATGCACGAGAGCTTTCATATGAGCCAATGAAATGGATTTTAATTATAAAATGAATTTTAATGTCAAGCCTATAAATAAATATTTAATCGGTTTTAATAATTACTTAGAATTTCAAAGCTGTTATTTATTGTAAAAAAATTAAATTCTAAAAAAACATTTGTGTATATTTTGTAAAATGTTTGTACAAAATGTTTTACTTTAAATTTATTTACATAATTTAAATTAATTACATTAATAAATAATATGAACATACATTAAATATTTTAATTACATACAACAAAAAGAAGAAGAAGATTACATCTATAACTTATAATAATAATGACATTATACTACAATAAATTTTATAATGAAATAATATAAGTATTATACAAGGAACAAGATTACGTAAAATTGTTATTTTTCTTATATCAATGAATAAATATATTTAATGAAATCAAATTTATATTATTATAAACATGTGAGCGAGATAATATATTAATTAATTTACGGGATAGCGCTACCAGACTCAGGTTTAATGTTCCGACAAAAAAAATGACGTTGATGAAAAGATGTAAAAAGATAGATGATCAAACTCTATTATTTTTTAGGCCTGAACGGACAATCCCTATGGTCCACTCATTTAATATCTCCCGTGAATCGCACGAGGACAAGTTCTGTGGAAATAACTCATTAATACTTATGTCCCGTGCATCGCACGGGCTACGTGCTAGTTTACCTCTTAAACATGCTTCTAGCTAAATCACTAATCAATATAGGTTTATTATGTATATTAATCATGTTATAAGATGTTGTAAATGAATGATTTGTGAATATTGTGCTATTTATAATGTATGAAAATAGTTTAAATCGAACAACCATATCAATGGTCTTGAAATTCCTTTAGATACTATTAAAAGAACGAAAGACATGTTATTTCTTCAAAGGATTACTTTTTCTGATATATCTAGCACTTGCAACATATACTAACCTATACTTGGTGTTTCTTATTATATATATTTTAATAGACAAAATAGCATTTATACCTTGTAAAATATTTTAAATTTTTTGCTTTATTTTTTTTTTTTAACATCTACACTTTTTTTTCCAACAAGGAGGAACAAACTGAAAATCAATTCAATATGCCCTCTTGCTGTTAAAAAAAAATAATAATAAATCAAAATAAACTTTAATAAATTGGTCTCTTTTACTGTTGAAAATAGCGCGTAGGAAATGATATTTATTCCTCAATGGCCTGTCAATAGCAAATAGTTGGCTCAACTGCACCGGGGATTCAGAGTTTGGCAAGTCCAGGTGTAAAAAGTGTTAAATTTTAGGACACGTGTCAAGAGATGGTAGGTGAGACTCGCGTTAATTAGGAATCTGCCACACGCGCTCACAACATATTCAATAAACCAATAATAATAACACAAAAGATGGAACAAATAATAATTATATATAGAGCTTCAAATAATATCGCACAAATGTTATAATGTTATTGGTCTGCTGGTGATGATTGATAACCAAAAATAATAAGGAATGCTTCAACCAAAATAAGGTAATAAAAGAATTGAATTGATATGCATATCTAATTTAGTCAGTGTTATTATTATTATTTTTATTTTATTTGTTATATCGCTAAAAGTGAGTTTTTCAGAGCTAGTCTGTAAGTTAATTAATATATTTATTTATTAATTCATTTATATTAATATAAATAATATTTTAGTACATATATTTAGTTATTGATACAAGAAAAGAATAATAATTTTACTTATTTTATTCATTTATAATGTCTTATAATGTAATTATTATTATTTATAAAAATTAATAGAAATATTTTCTTAATATAATGATAAATATTCAATGAATGTTAATATTATTTCTTAATATAATTAATTTAAAATTATGTCAAACAATTTAAATAAAATTGTTGGATATAAACTATTTTACCATATAAACCCATGTGTGATTTTATTCAATTTTCTGTATTTATCATATATCATAATAGTTTAAAAATTATGAAAAAAAATGGAGGAGCTTTTATTTTTTTCCACCGACATAGTTCAATTAATAAGAAGTAGCAATATTTGTTTTTTTCTTTTTTCATTTCTACATATTCTATTTCATTTCTTTGAGAAACGCGTGCAACACACACGCTCACTGGCGATTAGCAAAGGCACCTCCTGCCGAACCGTAACGAATACAACACCCATTTTCCACCACTAACCTAATTTTTTGACTATTTAAATCCACGCCCCATAAATTTCTCATTTTCCACCTTCAGCCCTCCTAAAACCTCCCCTTTCCCCCAAAACCCCTCAGAACAAACACGCAGGGCCTCCTCTTTTCCGGCATCCATGGCCGCCGCACTAACGAAGAGCGGCCGCTTCAATTACCGGAGCTTTCACTCCTTAAAGATATTTCTCCACAAGAGGAGTATCAAATGCTCCACATCCGACCCGGTTACCAGCACCGGCGCCCAACAACACAAACGGGTCACCCGTTTCGCGCACTCCGTTTTCCGGAAGGCTAAAGAGACGGACTTTTCTGACCCGATCTCAGGTTCGTACAGTTATTCTTCAAGGGTATCCTCTTCTCAGAAATCCGGGCTTGTGGGCTGGTACTTGGGTATGCTCCGGACCCGACCCATTTCCACCAAATGCGTCACCTCAGCCATCATATATGCCGCCGCAGATATTTCTTCCCAGGTAGTCTGAAATAATTGTTGATTGTGAAAATGCCCATTTTCTTACCAGGAATTATGAAGAAAAAAGGTTGCATCTTTTTAATTTTATACTTTGTGTAATAATTAATATTTTGTTGCAGACGGTTGTGAGTGAGAAATTGGAGGAGTATGATTTGAAAAGAACTGTCCGCATGGCTGGATATGGGCTGGTGATATTGGGTCCTTCTGTACATTATTGGTACAATTTCATGTCGAGAGTTTTCCCAAGTCGTGATCTTTCGTCGACTTTAATGAAAATGGTTTTGGGGCAAACGACTTATGGCCCGGCCATGACCATTATATTCCTATCTATGAATGCTGCTCTGCAAGGTAGACAGTGACATATTGAGCAAAACTGTTGTTTTTTTGCATTTGTAAGGTGTCAATAGTCAATACTAATATTAGTTGCGGTTGGTTCTTTGTTATGTAGAAGTTTTGTGACTCTTTAAACTGACTTTCATTTGTGGAATGCATATTCTTACAAGTTCCTTCTTGCCAAGATCATTTTAAAGCCATTTTAAAGCGTAACCCAGTTTTGGTTTCATGTTTTTTCTGAGTTTGGGAAAAATGTTGCTGAGATGTAGTGTATTATCTAGCAGAAGTTTTATTACTTAATGAAATGGGATACTTGGGACGGTTCTTGATTTAAAGTTTTGTTTATTGTGTCATTTGGTTATAGGCTTTTAGGGATTATACCGGTGAATGGTTTGATTTTTGTGCCTCACTCGTCTACCTTATGTAAATTCTTTTCATTTGAAACCATTGTTCTGAAGGTGAGGCACTTGAAATTTTTTTACCAGTTGTAATGCCTTTTACTCTGCAAAATGCACTCTTTCAAAGAGATTTCTTTTGGTATATATCTGCTTCACTGTTTTCTCCATATTAATAAACCGAATGAGGAAACTCAGTTGAAGTTATGAAGGAATTTGTTGGGAAAAATGTTTCCTTTTGGCAAATCATTCCTATATACATATCGTCTCTAGTTTCTAATGGCCTCTGCTGTATATATTTTCCACTCAGGTGAAAATGGTCCTGAGATTGTTGCCAGGTTGAAACGCGATTTAATCCCTACATTCATTAATGGAGCAATGTACTGGCCATTTTGTGATTTCGTGACATTCAAATTCATCCCGGTTCATTTACAGGTTAGGGACCTTTTGTTTATTTTCCCTTATCCCACACCCCATTTCACCATTTTAAGCGCTCTTTTCGACTATTAAGATTTCAATAAATCGTTTTTTTTCTCAAATTGGCTTATATTTTCGTTTTGTTCTCAATTATTGCAGCCACTGGTAACCAACTCATTTTCGTACCTATGGACCATTTACATGACTTACATGGCAAGCTTAGCAAAAGTGAGCACAAGTTGAGAAGGGTTTATTTGCCGAAGAATGTGCAATCTCCAAAAGCGCGCTAATTATATAAACCTTGCAAATAACTCCGATTTCTGATTGTGGCTTTTATGAAGTAGAAGAAGCATAGGGCTCGATTTCTCCAGATAGAGCTATCGTAATGGACGATTCAATTGATCTTCTGGAATTAGCAATGAAAGATTATGAAGTTGCTGCTTTATATACAGGGAATTACTGTAATCGGCCAGTTTCGGTAATGCGACCAGTTTCTTGAATTTTGAATTTATGGGGAATTGCTGTAATTGGACAAGTAAAAAGTATTCATCCATCACGGTATTCGTTTACCATTGGTGGCACTTCATAAAGTATTTGTTGATTCAATGGTAAAAAACCTACTAATTTTCCTAGTTGCATGAAAATGGATGAGTTCGCTTAATATTTCACATCAACATCTAAATCCAATCTTCAATGGAAATCAAACCATATAGGGCACACTGAAATGCTTGTTCTCTTTACAACATATAGTGTAAAAGGTACAGCCAGAACAATCTATCAAACTCTTAACAGACAACAAAAATAGCTAAAACCTTATCAAATGTGTAAATTCTTAAATTGCTTGCTAAANTTTCTCGAAAAAGGTTTTAACTTGGATTTAAAAAAAAAAAAAAAAGAAAAAAAAACTCTCCTCCTTCCTAATGACTAATGTCAACAATAATCTACCTAATTCCCGGCCGATACCTTCAATTCTTGCATGATGGAATAATGGAAGATTTTCTCGAGCTGCAAAGGCCAATCTTCCCCCAGAACCCTAGGATTCGACTCCATTGCAACCCGAAAATCGAGCATGCTCACGTTCGTCTGCTTACTCGGTCTACCCACAAATTTCCCGCCATTAAATCCAGACATCACCTGATTATTATTAAAATTATATTGTCCCCCAAGAATACAAGAAGAACCCATCTTCCTTGAACCAGCTATACCTACACACGGCTCGATTAACCTCTTCAAAAAGGCATCCAAACCATTATTCAACAAATTCACACTTTCTAAAGATATTCCCATCCCCTCTGAAGCAAACTTCTTCTGCAATCGGCTCCTCAGAGAAGCCGTATCAGGCAAATCCCCACTATTTTCACATTTTTCCCTTAGATCATCAAAAGTAAAACCGAAAGGAACATTATTCTTGCGATCCTCACCCGAACTAACCGAGACACCAATAGGGGCAGTGATGAGACCCCACCTCCGAAAATCGAGGCTTTCATTCAACTGTTCAACTTCCTCTCCTTCCTCAAGAACCGGCGGCCGGCTCCCGATTGATTGCAGCTCAGTCGCGCTCAGCTGTTCTTGAGTCCTTGTGAAGGTCTCCTCACAAGTCAGACTTGGGCTTTTTCCGAGTGGGCCCAATGGGCTTGGACGGTCCCGGAACTTGCGGTTGCCATACAGAGACTGAAATTGATTGATGCTGAGTTTTTCGGGCTTTTGCGGTTTTTGAGGAGGGACTTTGGCCTGAGACGCGTTTTGGAGAATGGATCGAATGAGTTTGTTGTGGAGAGGGAGATTTTCTCGGCCGATTGCGCGTATGCAGTTCCTGTCGAACTCGGCTTTGCTAAGCTTCATGGCGAAAAAACGCTTGAGCTGATCAAAGTACTTCTCAGCTCTCTGGGGCCCGACCATTCGGAATATATGTTCTTTGATCTCGAGTGTGTCTATACGTGTAAAATGATGGTTGGCCACCATTTTTTTTTTTTTTTGTTCTGCTTATTGTTTTCTTGTTTTAGGCATTAACTGCAAAACACTCAAAAGAAAGAAAGGTTAACGGATCCCGAGTCAGTGCTCCAGTTGGTACTATGAAACAGTAGCAAACTCAACTATTTTCATAAATCTAAACGCAATTCACATAGATCAGCTAATTAACAGTTTTGTTCCTCCAAGAACACGAAGAAATGATTAAAGTTCGCAGCTTTAGTGAAGAAAACCCCAAAATTCGCCTAACCAAACAGTAAGGCAGCAACATACAACTAAACTTTTCGTAATTATTAACTTCAACAACAACATCGTCAAGAAAATGAACATAATACAAACCCAAAAACACCCCCAATTGTCTTGTCAGCAACACAATTCAAACCCAACTGTAAACAGCGTACATAAACAAAAAATCAGAACCCAGAAACCAATGGGCATTGAACTAGAGACGTAATTGAAGTGGCCCACAAAAATGAACAATCTTGGATCGCAATCCGAACCCCAAGAAATCGAATTGAATTTCGACTGGAACAAAAAAGAGTAAGAAATTGACCTAATTTCTTCGAGTGGAGATCGAGCGTGGAGCTTAATTTCACCCTATTTTCTCCGATGTAATATCCCCAATTTGCCTGTCCGATCGACAGTCTCTGTTTTTCGGCGGTCAATGGTGGGCGCAGAAAATCTATATTGAGGAACAAAAGAAAGAGCCAAACACGGTATAATTTGTGTAGGCTTACGCGTTGCAACATAGAGCACAGAAATCCACTTGGGATGTCATGTTTAGTTAAAGCTTGTTTGGTTGTACTTTTTTCGTGCCAAGTTAGGAAAACTTTCCGAGCCCCAAGCGCGCTAATATATTTTGTTTCGTTCCTTTAGTTTGCGCGCATATGTTCCAAAAATTCCATTCCATGTTTTTCTATTTCACATCAGTCCATAGGTTGTCTACTGAAACAAAGGAAAAAAAAGAAAAAAAAGAACTGTATAAAATTAAATATAAAATATCAATTACCCCCACAAAAAATATTAGAGGAGTATATAAAGACCACAAGCCGATAAGCAAAATAGAAAACAAGGAAAATAAAAATAAAAATCCAATTTTCTCGTGTTCTGCTCAGTTAAGCCCTTTTTTGTTTCATTTCTTAATACTTCCCCTGAAAAGTGAATCATTATCTATAAATTACTAACACACAGTTAACAGTATATATATGTTTGTTTAGAAATTNAAAAAAAAAAAAAAAAAACATTGCAACTTATTCTACTCCGATTTCACAAAGTCCTCGTGCGAAAAATCAGTAGACGATCCTGCTAAAAGGCCTCGAGCTGCCTCATCTTCCAACACAACCACCTGTCTCTCGAGATTGTCACCACCCGAACCTAATCCGATATCTGTGTGGAAATCAACCCATTTTCTCTCCTTTGCTTGAATCAAAGCTGGATAGAGAGCAAACCCGAACAAAATTACAATACCACTGACTAGGAATGTATTAAGAGATGCAAGGGACATGACCAGTGGCAAGCAGAGGAAAATTGAGCCCATTGTTTGCAGGGGGACTCGGTAAGGTCTGTGTAGATCTGGCTTTTTAAGTCGTAACATTATGAGTGCAGCGAATTCGAAAAGCATGCCGATTGCGTAAAGGAAGTTGAGGAATTCGAGGATTTCTTGAAAGCTCATCCAAGATAGGAGTATCACGCGCACGGCACAAGATGCTGAATGTGGGCGTGTTGTATTTTGATCTGCAAGATTAAGGGGTCTTAAATGATTCGGAAACTAGGAGAAAGTAAATGTGCAAAGACAAACTAAAGCGTCGAGTTTCAGATAAAATGACTAAATTTGTCCAATGCAGCTGCTAAAAAATATACTGATGTAAAGCTAAATGAGTCTCTAGGAATGGTGGCAACCATATATGGAAATCCATTCTTAATGGTCTCTAGGAATGGTGGCAACAGGAAATTTCAGATAAATTTCACATCAACATCTAATTCCATTCTTAATGGAAATCCAACCATATATGGCACACTGAAAGGCTCGTTCTCTTTACAACATATAATGTTAGAAGGTACAGCCATAAAAATCATATCAAACTCGTAACAGACAACAAAAATAGCTAAAACCCTTATCAAATGTGTAAATAGTAAAATTGCTTGCTAAGAAAAAAAAAAACACTCTCCTCCTTCCTGGCTAATGTCAACAGCAATCTACCTAATTTCCGGCCGATACCTTCAATTCTTGCATGATGGAATAATGGATCGTCTCCTACATGGCCCCAGTGGCTCGGCTTGGCCTATTTTTCGCTGCTTTTTTTTTACGCTACTCTTTCCAGATCAAAGAATGCTATGACCAAAAATTGGTTCAAAATCGAATCTCCATCTAACGACTTATTTTACGCGTTGCTCGCACAGCCCCTGGGCCCAGATGTTGACATTGTTCTGGGGGTTCGTTCTAGATTTCCTCACCTGGAGATGGAATCCGGGCAGAAAGGAATATCTCGCATATGGCGAGTATTTCTAGAGACGGTCTTCATCATTGGGGGCATTTGGGTCAGTTCGATCGTGACAAACGTCTGGTCGCTCTCTATCGTGTTTGTTGCGATGGTTCATGCCATATGTGTCTCTAATTTGGTGATTATCTATGAGAACGTTGGCCTTTACGCATATGTGTCCATTTTCTGAACACATACCAGATAGATACCCGAAATAAAAACTGATATGTGTCCATTTTCTGAACACATACCAACATACCAGATAGATACCCAAAATAAAAATTGATGCTAAACAAACGTTCTCATAGATAATGAGATACACATGACATGAAGCATCGCAGCAAACACGATAGAGACGACCAGACGTCTGTCACGGCTGAACTGCCCTAAATGCCCCCAATGATGAAGACCGTCTCTAGAAATACCCGTCATATGCGGGATATTTCCTTTCTGCCCAGATTCCATCTCGAGGGGCTGTGCGAGCAAACCTAGAACGAACCCGCAGAACAATGTCAACATTTGTGCCAGGGGCTGTGCGAGCCGTTGGATGGAGGTTCGATTTTGAACAAATCTTTGGCCATGGCATCCTTTGATCCGAAAAGAGTAGCGTAAAAAAAAAGTAGCGAAAGATAGGCTAAGCCGAGCCACTGGGGCCATGCCCAGTGCATAAGGAGACGATACCTTCAGAAATTACACCATCTACAAGTAAACTTATTCTACTCCGCTTTTGCAAAGTCCTCGTGTGAAAAATCAGTAGACGATCCTGCTAGAAGGCCTCGAGCTGCCTCGTCACTAACCTGCTCATCTTCCAACACAACCCCTTGTCTCTCGAGATTATCCCCACCCGAGCCTAATCCGATATCTGAGTGGAAATCAACCCATTTTCTCTCCTTTGCTTGAATCAAAGCTGGATAGAGAGCAAACCCGAACAAAATTACAATACCAGTGACTAGGAATGTATTAAGAGATGCAAGGGACATGACCAGTGCCAGTAAGAGTACAGGTGGCAAGCAGAGGAAAATCGAGCCAGTAGTTTGTAGGGGGACTCGGTAGGGTCTGTGTAGATCTGGCTTTTTTATTCGTAACATTATGAATGCAGCGAATTCGAAAAGCATGCCGATTGCGTAAAGGAAGTTGAGGAATTCGAGGATTTCTTGAAAGCTCATCCAAGATAGGAGTATCACGCCTGATGCAGAGCACAAGATGCTGAATGTGGGCGTGTTGTATTTTGATCTGCAAGATTAAGGGTCTTAAATGATTTGAAAACTATTAAAGAGACCTTTTTACATATATTCTGGGAAAAAGTAAATTTTATACTAAACTTTAGACTAAATAAGGGTTGATTAATCATGAAATCCACATTTGAGATTTGACCTAGTTAATAATTTTAGTGGAATGCAATTTGTAACACAGTAAATAATTTTAAGGGAATATATGTAATTTTGGAGAAACAGCTAATAATTTGTAACACAGTAGATAAGTTCCCTCTAGTTTTTGTTCTTTTAATCAGACCAAACCTCCATGATTCTTTTGTAAATACCCAACAAATAAACTTGCAAAGACAAACTTAAGGGTCGAATTTCGGATAAAATGACTAAATTTGTCCAATGCAGATGCTAAAAGATCTTCTGTTATGAAGCTACCATCATGTTACTTAAAGAGATCCCATCGCTTTACACAATGTTGTATTATCCAGATTTCCAGTTCCAATCTTCCATCACACTCTGCATTCTACATTTCTCCTATATCATATCAATAACATATCCATATCATATCAACACACGGTCTCTAGTAGTGGGCTACACGAGTTGTTCATTAAATACAACTAAAACCCTAAAAGGAACACAAAAATGGATTGAACAAAACTTAACAAATTCACATGATCCTCAATCCTTCACCGAAAGCCAATTATTTACACAGGCCAATTCTCATCACCTCAAAAGTCATAACAACACAAACAATTCCTTACAGCAGTAAAAATCGAAAGCTAAAACTTCCCCAAAAAATATTCAAAAATCAAGATGACAACAGACCCAATAATAAACTGACCTGGAAGCAAACACTGCTGGAAGCATCCCAATCTCGCTCATCCCTAAAAGCTGGTAAGCATCACTGCTCATCTCAGCCTCAAACAGACCCAAGTTCGAGAAGGCGGCAGCCGCCTGAATCCACCACCTCAGCCACTGGCCTCCGATCAACATCCCCACCTCTGCAAAATACCCGTCACTCCAATCTCCGGGGTCCGTCTGAACAGCCCCTGTACCGGCAAGCAGAGGAACCAAATACGAGCACACCACAAGAACAATTGCCCCAAACAGGGCCCTAGGGAAGGCCCGGGCTGGATTCTCAACCTCCCCTGCCAGCGTACTGGCGTTATCCCAATAGTTCAAGTTCCAAAACAGGCTATTGAAGTAGCCCCGCCAGCTCACCTTCCGGTAATCCATGGCAAACCATCTCCTGGGCTGGAGACGGGGTACGGCCAAAAGGCCCATCACGAGAAACGGGAAAAGCGAGAAACAAGCGAGTAAGACGGCTGAGTAGCCCACGATGTGAAGTCCTCTGTAGTTCAAATACGTCAGCACGACCGTGATGGCCAGCAGGGCCGGGATCCGTGCGGCCGTCTGTTCGAAAACCGGGAAGGAGCGTTTGAGGTAGTCGAGGAAGAGGACCGGGTAGAGCGCGTTGTCCATGACCCCGCTGAACCACTTCCAGAGGCCCTCCTGGAAGCCCCAGAAGGGGCCGAAGGCCGACGAGATCCAGAGGACGTAGCCGCCGTTGGCCGGGAAGCTGGTGGCGAGCTCCGCCGTGACCAGGGCCTCCGGGATGCTCCAGAAGAAGGGGAATACGAGGAAGCCGAGGAGAGAGAGGAGGGGGCCGCCGCCGGATCTGACGGAGTCCTCGACGCCGAAGGGGCCGCCTGAGACCTCGTAGAAGATTAGGGCGATGAGGGGCAGGATCGTGAGCTTTTTGTTGGCGACCATTCCCTCCTCACCCATCCACGGACTGCGAGAGGGGTTTGGGATAGTGTTGTATAAACCCTAAATTGCCAAATCGAAACTGAGTGATTCTGTTGGAGGGATTGATTGGATTGATTTTCGTATGCTGAGAGCGCGTGAAGAAATGGAGAAGATGCAGCAGAACTTGGTGAATGGCTCTTCTATAAATATTAAACGCTGATCAGAGATATTTTGAAGAAATGAAAACAACATGGTTGACTAATAAAATTCATTAATTAGTTGATTATTTTTTATCAATAAACTCGAGTGTGCATAATTATTTCTGATCCAATGGTAAAACAGGTTTAATTTATTCTCCAGCAGTTGAATAATGAGATTCATTATTATTTGAAACAACATACATAATATAACTGAAATCAACCACACAAATAGAGTTGAACTTATTGGATATAGTGAGACATGTAGTAGTGAAATTTGATATTGGATGTAGTTAAATTTATTATTAAGAAAAAAATATAGTGGGAGAATTAGTAATTATTTTAATACAAATATAATAATAATTAATGTTAATGTGAAAGATGCATATTACGATAATGATTTGATTCCGTAATTTATAAATATTTGAATGATTGTGAGATTTTATAAGTAAATGTGTTGGGATGATTAATTTTTAAAAAAAATTATATTAAAATAAAATGAGTGAAGCAAAGTAAATATTATTTAATTAATAAATAGGATATGTTAAAGCAAAGGATATATTAGTAAACAGTTTTACAAGTCAACAATTGACTTCACAGTTGAGCCAACTTTCTACATACAGTAACTAAACCTTCTATTCGGTACGAAAAAATTACTCACCACAATTTGTCATTCATTGCACCTTGCAGGCTTGCAGCGACCACTGTCTCATTTATTTTGTGGGGCGCGGAATCAATCCGTTAATGGATCTACGATAATGAAGCTACTTTAGACTCATAAGAAAAATGTGGAGAAAAAAGGCTAATTTACAAACATACATTTGCTAAAATTCTACTTTGCATATATATGATGCATTGAAATTTGATTGTATTAGTCTTTTTTGGCGATAAAATTTTTTGATTATACGGTGCATGTGTCCCATGAATCCCAAATACCTCGTCACACTCCATTCAAATCGTAACAAATGTGATCAAGATGTTGTCAAAATCATACTATATATGCGACTTACCATGTTCTGATAGAAATAAGTAAAACTCGAAGAGTAAATAGATGTCGGACGTTTTTTTAAAAATGAAACACACACTACGAAGGAGGATTAATGATATGCCAGGGGTTTTAGCAGAGCTTTTCTTATGGCTGCCCATGAAGGGTACTGAGTGGATGTGTCGAGCTCTGGATTGATTGAAGGGGTCATCTCCAAGCAATTGTCGTCACTCTTTGAGATGCCCAAGGATTGTAACGCTATAGATGCAGATGATAGTTGGCAGCGGCGGATCCATAAATTTGTATGAGCTAGGGCAAAAAAATAGTTGAATACTGCACAAAGTACTTATATTAACAATTAAATAAAATGTTGAAGCAATCAGGTCTTGAAGTGTTTCCTATTCAATTTGCCTTTAACTTGATGCTCAAAAATGAAATGCATAACTGGTTCTGACTATTTGATTTCGTATTTTTATTATTATTAAGAAATATATTTTATAATCCCTTTTCTGTCAATCTATTGTTCATTAGTTACACGTTGGATAAACCAACTCAAATCAATTTGCACAAGTCTTCGCAGTGATGTGTTTGTGCCTTCACATGGAGGGAATATGGGCAGAGCAATGCAGGGGCACCGTGCTTATATGGGACACAGGAAGTATATAAGGCCATTTTTTGTAATAAGTTATAAATAAGTCATTTTGAATTATAAATTATTTATTTAAAAAAAAATTAAAAGTCATCATTTTTGTTTATGTTATTTTATAAGTTTTCTTATAGATTATCTTCTTACATATAAATGTAGAGTCTTTCTTTGTCAACTTCCTTTGCAATTCTACATGTTAATTTCTAAGGATTCTAAATAGTTCATATAAATATGAACCTTTATCAAGAACTTTCAAATTTAAAAACATGGCTAACTTAAATTGCAAATATATTTTAAAAATTAATAAAATTTATATTTGTTATCATTTTTTACATATGATAAATTAAATTAGTCATATTTTAGCAATCTATAATTTGACATTCATATCGTATATATAAATTAAAATAATTATATTTATCTGTTCTCTATAAAAAAAATATTTAGCAATTATAATTGAAAAACAATAAATATATCTATCAAGCCTATTATATGATATATGTACTAAATATATAGTAATATAAGACCGTCGAATCTTACAGTGGAGGTGCATAATTTTAAATAAAAATGATATTATTTTATAAGAATTATTTAAAATTTTAAAATAAAAACTTGTATTTATATTCTTACACATACTAAATATAAGTTTTCAATTAACACATGTTAACAATATGAATTGTGTAGTTAGCACAAAAAATTCAGCCTAGCAATTGCTAGGCTGACCCATATGTGGATCCACCAGTGATGGTGGTGTTGGGATCTATGAAGATCGTCTTAATTGTGCAAGTCACTATTAACTATACGAATAAATCTATGCGCAACGGATCTATAGGTTATCGTAGAAAACTTATAGCTTAAATTTTTGCAGACTCTGAGACGTTGTATATTTTCATTGATGAAGATCGTTTGATTTTTCACTCGTCGAAAATCACCTCATCATATGTCTCGTAGTACGTCGTCGGGTCTGCAGGTCGGCTGAGGTCGCCTCGAGTCGTGCGGGTCATGCGGTTGACGTCGAGCGGCTACCGAGACTGCAGCGGGTCGCTTGAACGAGAGTTGGACGCACGAGTATGTCGAGGGGCTGCAGGCACCGGGAACGAGTCTCGTCGGGACATTGGGAGCAGCAGGTCGCGTGGATAGCCAGGCGCACAGGATAGCAGCATGCGGCACGAGCTCGCCGTGTCGCGTTGGGCTATGCACGGTGGTCGAGTGCTCGACCGGTGGTGGTCAGGTGCTCGACTACCTTGGGATCTATTTAATATCGTAACACCTTTAGAACTCTCTTGATAGGAAGGTGACTCTAGATCTCTCTTAAGTCTAAAGTATATTGATGTCTTCCAAATATAAAAGTGCAAGTAATCAGTCAAGTGAGCACAAAAGGATTATTATGTTAAAAATATAGTAATTAATTCTCCTTCTAAACTTTTGTATGCAAATACTTTTAATTAATGAAACATATACAAGGTTCGACTGTGCGGGTTACTAAATACTCAAACTTCGAGTGGACTAAATATATAAGGTTGGACACCTTTTGGCCAGCAATTTTTTGGGCCAACAAAAAAAAAAATTCAATATTTCACAATTATAAATTAAACTAGGGCCGACTGTGCGTGCACAGCCGAGAGCCTACTAGTTAATCATATACATTCATAATTATTCGAGATAGTAGACGAAAGCAGCTCTTCACTTGAGTGGCAAGAACTCAAACTCACATCAATTCAGGTTTGGTTTCCTGCTTAGCATTATTTATCCTTGATGAACTATTTTCACAAAGTTAACTTTATTAAACATTTCTTTATTTCTTCTCATTCCTTATAGTTAATGAAATTGATGAAAATCAAAGCACAACTTCCAACAATAAGTAAGAAAATGGAAATGTAACTTGAGCAAGGTTAGTTGCTATGAGTT